GCGTTTGCAAGTAACGTGTGAAAAGAAGTTACCAATCTTTCGTACAGAAAATCCCAACTAAAATTAAACCAAACAGTACAAATAATTAATTGAAATATACGTTGTGTAGCATAAATTTAATGTTAATAAATAAGTTTGATAGCATTAATTTAAAATAATTAAAGGAATTTTGCTACACAACAATTTACGTAATGAAGCAGTTCTTTTATTATTTTTAAAACTTTATTTTGTTGGTAAAATTACAGTACAGATACGTCAGTATAATTACAATTTAACAGATAAAAATATTACGATAGTATGAAAGACAGTACTTTAAAATTTCGCTGTTTGTAAGGCTGCACAGATGATACATTAAAGATCTTACATCTAGCAGAATGCAAATAGTTGCCAACTGACAAATACTTAATAGTGTAATGCAGAGGTGCCCAACCTCGTGCTCGCGAGCCCAATTAGATACATATGAACAAAAAATATTTTAAAAATAACCATTCATTTATGTTTCATAATGTTAAAATATGGTAAGCATTTATAGTCATAAGCGATACCTTACAAGACGTTATAAAATAAAATTGATTGCTAACTGATAAACTTGATAGCGAACATGGAATCCTATTGCTTCATTCCGATGTTAGATGGCTCAGCAGGGGAAAAGTACTTCAACGATTTGTAGAACTTCTTTCACCAATAAGCAGTTGGGAATCCGGAAACGAAAGTTATAAAGAATCGGATGATAATAATTGGTTATCCGATCTGTGTTTTCTCACGGATATAACAGCTAAACTGAAGAAACTGAACGAAGATCTCCAAGGAAAAGAAATAATCCTTTTTCAACTGACTGGGACTATAATTGCTTTTCATAAGTTAAATTGTGGATAAACAGAGAAAGAAAACAATTTCACCCATTCAGAATTTATCAAGGATATAAAGAACCACAATGCAATTTAAAAGAGAAATACTCGGACAACCGATACACTGAAAAATTTTTGAACTCCGCTTCTTTGAGCCATTCCGAGATTTGTTTTTAGACATCGTTCGAATGAATGTACTTTTCAAGCAGACTTCTTGATTTATCTTGCCGTCAAATAGATCCAGATCATGGACAACATCCTCAAAGACCTTATTTGTTCTGATTCTCTTTCTTCCTTCAACTTGAACCGTAGCAGCTGCGATAAATTAGTTATCGAAACCCAGTAAACTGTTAGTTCATTAGAATTAGAGGTATTGAAATCTGCTTTGCTTATGGTGCGCTCATGATGGTTTTAGGAAATGAAAGAGCTGATTTCTTAGCTAAGATGCCTTAAATTTCCCATTGATATCAACATTCATTCCAAAGAGTTATGGAAGTCCTTTCATTATAAAAAGCTTTTAGCTAGTGGAATGAGGAATACGTTTCATCTTGGATGCTGAAGTCACCAAAATGTTCCTTCTTTTTTTACCTAGCTGAATTCCGAGTCTTTCCTCTCGTTAAATTTTAAAGTCTCAGTTTTTATCTGGTCACGGTAAATTTGCAAGTATCTGTTTCGTTTTAATCTACGATCAAACAATTTATGTGAAATGTTCACAAAGATTCTCAGGATGTGAACATTTGTTTTCTCGTGCCCACATTTGGATGGCCCTAGATTATGCTACAGACGATTGGAAAATGTTCGGATGACTTGGCCAGTGAACTTATCTGTTTCGTGAAGTCCAGACTGCTGTTCTCTGTTTGTTCGCTTTATTTATGCATTAATTTTAATGTTTTTTTTACATGTAACCTTTAAGTTCTAGTTAACTACGCTGTACGCCCGTGTTGTACATATGTGGTGCACGGGGAGTCTGTATGTTCTCAAAGGAAAAAAAAAAAACTCCGCTTCTTTGATTTCCACAAAGTTCAAGCAATATTATTATTCATCTCGAACCCATTTGCCGAAATTAATATTTCATATCTATCACGTAAGATTGGAAATATCTTTAACAAAAATGTTGATGTTTTGGAAATATGCTCGCGAGAGGCCAAAGGTTGGGCACCACTGGTGTAACGTAACGCTCTAAAATTTTGGAAGCACTCTGATGAAGTCCTTCTTGAGGTCCAAAATAAGAATATTTCTTCAAGATCGAGTGGGCTTTTATCACAGTTATGACAGATTATATGATATCTTTCAACGCACTGAGGATGTTAAATTTAGAAGCGATATGTTCAGAATGAAAACGAAAGAACAAACATTTTCAGTGTACAAGAAAATTAGCTTTTATCCAATAACCTTTAAAAGGGGGAGTATTAGTAGTCACCCTTAAACTATTCTATTTATATCCTGGGAATCTAAGCGTCAAATATAATGTTCTAATTGTTTCAGCTTTGTTAATTTGATACAAGGAAGTAGGACCTCGCCCTAGAAGCTTTATTGTGTTCCCTGAATAACATCTAATTTGCATATTCTTTTTCTTTGATCGGCGACAGTGTGTTCGATGGGTAATGCGATAAAAGAAATACGTTAAAGAAGAATGGCCCCAGTACATTTCTGAAGTTAAAAATGTTGTTACCAGGGGACTCTTTCCAAAATTTACGTTACGTTACGCTATGTTACGCCACTACTCATTTATCATCCTTACAATTTAGCTAATATGGCTGAATAAGATCTTAAATTTATCTTTAAAGCAACTTTGCAAATAGCCAGTTGTAAGAAGAGCTCTATTTGGTATTAGGTTTTTTTGAAGTAGGAGGACATGGAAAGGGATCAATGCCCTACCCGAGACTCGAAGCTGGACCTCTCGAATAAGCGCCGAGTGTGCTACCGTTACACCACGAAGGCATTCTCGAAGGAGGGAGAAAATACCTTATATACTCCCCCTTTTAACGGGCGGCTGGGGACTAGGGGACCTAGTTGCCAAATCTTGGTGGTGAAGAATTATCATTCATCACCTATCATTTCGGGCGCCACAGTGGAATCGTTAGTTTTTTTTTTTTAAGGCAGGAGATGTGAAAAATGAGCAATGCCCTCGCGGAGACTCGAACCCTGGACCTCTAGAAAACGTGTCGAGTGTGCTAACCGTTACGGTACGAAGGCATGCTGGAAGAAGGGAAAAAATACCTTATAATGCGATATAAGATGTTTAATTTGATTTTCAAGTTATAGTCTCATTACATAGTTAATTGAACGATATAAAATGACTTTTTTCTATTAAATTCAAGTTTCGCTGGTTTTATAATCCATCTAATTGATACTGTTGTATACTTTGGTGTACTTTTGGGTAATAGATTGAATGCACACAGGTCCACAGAGAGGTAGATAACATTTATTATATCAAAAGAACTACTTCAGAGTTCTGGAACTTTCTACAAAAACAGTCATACAACTCTTCACACAGTATCACAGAGTACCATCAGTAATTACACTTAGAACGTTAAACACAACGCAGTGCAAAGCGCATTAAAAAAGCGAAGCTAAAAGGGAGATATCTCAGTAGTCAGAACTCACATCTGAACTAACAACAACTACTGAGGGCAGATGCTCTTTCTCTGTTCTTATATAGTTTCCATCCGGCTGCCGAGATATTTCTAGTATTTTCTGCTTCTCGAAATCGCTGGAAGACATAAAAGGGCCAGGTACGGTTACACAGAACGTCAATTACAGTTGCTCAATTACTATACCATTATGGTTATACAGGAACCGCACCATAATGTCGTCAAATGGTCGCCGAGTTCGGCGACTTTGGGCGGTTTCTAGCAAAATTTGGCGATAAAAATTAGTCGCCAAAATCGTTGCGAGTTTGGCGAGATAGCCATTTACGCAATTTGAAATTGACTTTATAAGGTATTTCTCCCACTTCCCTAGCGTGCCTTCGTGGTGTAACGGGTAGCACGCTGGGCCGGTATTCCTGAGGACCGTGGTTCGATTCCCGACGAAAGCGGTTGCATATTTTTCATCTTTTCTGCTTCAATTACCTATGCTCTACAGGTGGCGCCCGAACTAAAAGGGTCGTGGATGATGATTCTCCGCACCCAGGATTTGGCAACTAGGTCCCCTAAAACCCTAGTCGCCCTTTAAAAAGGGAACCCACTTCCCTAGCGTGCCTTCGTGGTGTTACGGTAGCACACTGAGCCGGTATTCCAGAGGTCCGTGGTTCGATTCCCGGCGAAGGCGGTTGCATATTTTGCATCTTTTCTACTTCCAATTAACCTAATTACTCTACAACTTAACCCTCGTATTGTTTATTTTTCGGCAACGTATTATCTCTCTAGACTTCAATGTTACATTAAACAGAAAAAAATACAACAGTTTCACATATAATTGCACTAAAATCATTTCTCTGTGAAAAAAAAATCAGTAGCAATATAATTTAGATTATGTTTAATTAACAACAAATGTAAACGATAATTTTAATGAACGCTTGCAACATGTTTGTAATTTATTAAAAAATTGATATGTATTGCATATTTCGAAACAGAATATTTTTAATCAAATTTTGGAAGAGATATTATTGTTTTAAATAAACGTTTTCCCGATAAAATCAAAGATCAGTAACTGTTAATGGCAATGGCTTTAATTTATCTTCCATTATTTATTGTAAATTACCACCATTTATTATAAGTTGCCCATCAGTGTAATAAATTGATTTATTTATAGACTCACTTTATCCGGGATTCTTAATAACATTTGGTAAGAGGTGTTGTTTTATATTAAAGGACATTCTAAAGTTACGCTTATTTTAAAATTATTTTGCGACATTGCTATTGAACTGAATTTTATGGTTTAAGTGCAAAGAAATGTGATATTTAATAAATAACACACAAAACGTTAAAATTACGCCCCTTTGGACATAATTTAAAATCTGACACCTTTCAGATTTTTTTTTTTTTTTTTTCTATACTGTTAAAATCTTGCGCGTCTGTCTGTCTGTTTTCTTTTTTTTCTTTTTTCTTTTTTTTTTTTTAATTCTTAGCCAGAGATTTTTTCTTTGTTATAATAATTATCTCTTTCTTTTTTATGTTTGGTTACGAATCTCGTCTGTTTCTTCAATAGCCGAACGGATGACGTCATTGGGGAAAGACTGGCATAGAGGATGTCTGAGGTGTGAAAAATGCAATAAGACCTTGACACCCGGGTCACATGCCGAGGTAAGAATAAGAAACAGTTGCCATTTTAGTCTTATGACATCATGAAATAAAACTTGTCACTTTCATGAAGATTCTCATCTATACTTTCCGAAATTATAAGTCTTATTAAAGGAGGAGGGGAGGGAAAGAACTATGCGCAGATAGAGAATCAGAATTTCTGGAAGTGCTTTGTCACAAATATTATTAAGTCAAATTCACTGTAACAAAAAGTTAAATATGTTTATCTAGTATTTTATGCTTCTTATAGACAATCCCATTTATTCTTTTCTGAATTTCGAAATATCTATCATCTCGAAAACATGTTATCTTAGTCCAATCAGACTGTTAGTCTCGAAATATGATTTTACGTTGATTCACTTTAAATGTCGTCCACTGTAAATGCGTCGTTTCACTTTTCATTCGAATCTGTTGCCACTGAAGAAATATGTAAGACATTTATTTATCTTTCAAATTTTATCTGTTATTGATTAACAAACTTTGTCTTGTTAAAAAGCAACAGATGCAATTTTTAAAAATATATACTTTTTTTCTTTTCATCTGGTTGATGTAAACAAATTTGCATTTAATTCATGATAAATCTTACTAAAAACATGCAATATTTTTATAGAATGGCGTTATGTACTTTTTCGCTTTTCAAATACGCGACTTACAACGTTCCCATGTTAGTCACGATGTATATTAATCTAGTATCTTGTAAAATGTTTTATTATTCTATCTGTGCTATTATTATTACAAGTATTCATATTTGAACTTACGTAATTCATATTTTTCAGCATTCTCTTTTTTTTTCCACCTCCGTGTTGATATGATCCTAACCATTTTCTTCGTTGCTTGATTCTTCTCATTAACTTTCTTAAAACTTTTTGTTAACGAATTTACAAAACCTTCACGCGAAAACACACAAAAGCAGATTATCAATCATCACACGCTCGGGTAACACAAATTATGAGACTCTACCTAAGTGTTTAGAATTAAGAGAGACACGTGGGAAGGGCCCTTTCATTTAACCCAGACAAAAAAATTATAGAAGGCACTGCTTGTGCTTACAGAATCAGCCAGCATTTACGGCTTAGCTCAAAACTCAATGTACCAAACGTGGCCTTCAACAGGCAGAACACGCTCTGATTCTACCCACTAAAATTTTCCTTTAAATACTGTCTCTTTCTACCTCATTTGAATAGGCGCGAACTAGAAATTAGCATTCCGGCAGGAAAACAGAAAGCGAGAAATTAGCATAAAAAACTTATTAGTAAAACTAAATGTGTACTCTGCAAGGTTAAAATTCAGCGTTATAATTGATTGATAACTCTGAATTTTAACAGGCTGTTTACTGACAGGCGTACTGATGCGCATGGGCAAGCGTAGCATTGTCACGAAAGAGATAAACAAGTCTAGGGTGAATTATAAAACTGGTTTAAAATGGATTCAAAAGAGATTTTTTTTTCGTGGCGTCTGTACGTACGTACGCACGTATGTATCTCTCATTACTCAAAAAGGAGTAGCCTCAGAACGTTAAAATTTTGTATATAGGACTGCTATAATATGTAGATGTGCATCTCCTATTTTGGTTGCAATCGGCCGCACCAAAAGTATATAAATATATGTATATATATGTATGTATTTCAAAGAAATATCAAAATTTTTATCAAAATTTTAACAAAACAAAAATTTTCGCTTCCAAATAAAACGTATGCCAAGTTGGCCGTATTTCAAAGCAGACGTATCTTATATATATGCAGCTTAAGTGTTTGTCGCCGATAGTTTATTGGTTGCTTGCGTAACTGTAAATTGTTTTATTCCCCCTGCAGTGCAGCGCGTGACGAATATTATGAGAAAGCTAAGCCGGAAAAATTGAAAATACAAGAGCACGTGCATTTAACATTTCATAAATAAATTTAACATCTATATATAATAGTATTCGGAAATATGAAACCGGCAAAAACCGGCAACGATGAAAAAACAAATGAAATGAAATAAATAAATAGCTTTATTATATGCGGCTTAAGTGTCTGTTTGTCGTCGATAGTTTATTGTTTGCTTGCGTAACTGTACTAGCCAATGGGTGTGAAATTGCCACAGCACAGGGTTGCCGTTTCAATTCAGACGTAGACCATTTCCTATAAAACTTGCTTTTGCTATGACCATCCATAAGTCTCAGGGCTAAACGCTTAAGCGTGGTGGTATTTTTTGACTTGAGCCTGCATTTGGACACGGTCAACTTTATGTTGCCTGTTCAAGAGTTCGTGAAAGAACGGACGTAAAATTAAAAATAATGGATGGTCCTCTGCAAGAGGAGCTTAAAAATGATGGAAAGATCTACACAAGAACTCTTGTGTACAAAGAGATCTTTGACATGTGATTTAACATTTTATTATTTAAATCACCTTTATTCATTGAACTAGCGGTGGTTCTTATTAGCAGATACCTTTGCACAAATCATTTTAATTACAATTTATAATATCTAGAACAGCGGTCATTTTGTATGACCGCCGGGCTTTCTAGTACTGTTATATCTCTGTATATACATGTTATATTAAATTGTATAAAATACCATTATTGTTACTGTGTTGACGATTTCTACCGTTATAGAATATATTTTGCTATTAATCCAATATTTTTCCCCTTAGCATGAAGGGAAACCTTATTGTAATAATCCCTGTTACGGAGCACTTTTTGGCCCGGGAGGTAAGTGTAATTTATATTAGTTTTTAACAACAAAAGTAATATTTTCAAGTAATGTTTCTTACTTTTTCCTTTTCTTTCACTTTTTACTTCCTTGTACGAACTAAAAAGGAAGTATTTTATGTCCTTGTATGAAGTAAAGGAAGTATTGCAATCACGAAAAGTTTCGGGTACCATATTTCAATCAAAATGTTCATTTTGACCGCTATCGAATACAATTTAATGAGGGGACATCTCTGAAGTCGGAGGATCACGATGGTCACGAAACTGTAAATTTATGGGGGATCTGGATACTTGTTCTGTGGTCATCTAAAATGTAAGCAGGGCATGTTTTAAACAGAACAAAGGACTCTTTTTCCACAAACGAAATATAAAACTGATTTAAAATGGATTCAAAAGAAGTTTTTTTCGTGGCATCTGTATGTACGTATGTATGTATGTCGCATAACTAAAAATAAAATAGCCTCAGAACTTTGAAATTTTATATGTAGGACTGCTATAACATGTAGATGTGCACCTCCCTTTTTGGTTACAATCGGCTGCACCAAAATATATATATATATGTAATAATAAAATTCCATAGTGAAGAATACGCTTAAAATTCTAACTGTATGTTGTTTTCATTTTTAATGGCGACGGTCTCTTATTTGAAAGTACGTGGAATTAAATTCACAGCCCCGTAGTCAAGTTGTTTTTCCCGCCTTTTGTACACGAACAGTTATAGAATGTTATGCAAATATTTAAAGCGAACTGGATTGGCTGACGAGGCTGACGTCATTTCTTGGAAGCTCCGCCTTTCCAGAGATTATAAAAGGACTCGCAAAAGAATATCGGGGCTTTTTTTTAATGCAACGATGCAGTAAACTTCATACAAAACGTTTTTAGTAATTCTTTTTATTTACTCCTGATATCTGATTTTGTAATTGCTATTTCTCCTGAATAATAATAAATGGATCCTGTTTTTTAAACTTATCGTCTGATAATTTAAGCTACTACTACATCTATATTTCTTCAACGATCTATTTATTCTGGACAAAAGCTGATACGTCACATATATATACCCATTTATACCTGAAAAATCTGAAATTTTGCCTGCTGGCTGAATTGCCTGCTCTCGCTTAGAAACTCTTATTTTAATTGTATTCTTTTAAAATTCTTTTAACAGTATTTGGTGTTTTATGTTTTCCTACGTCTTTCAATTTTTAATGAGGATATTTTGAGGTTTTGTGTATTTTTGCCTTGACGCGAATTGAGAACTGAATTAATTGAATGAGAAATATATCTGTAACGAAATTCGAGGAAATAATGTTTCGTATTAGCAGCAAATATTGTCTCCAGTCTGACTCGGACAAGGGAGAATGTTTACGAGTAGCGCATGCGCATTAGGCAAGCGGCGCTGAATCGTCTGTGAAAAACTGTTTCTTTTTTATTTGTTTAATTTCTTTTATGTATCGTTTTAGACTTATTACAGTATTTGAATAGAACATGTGGCAACGATTAGATAATTCTTAAGATGATATTAATTTTTCGCATTCTGAGTTATAAAATGAATGATATATTAAGTGAACCTGACGCCAGAGTGTCGCTATGACAAATAAATATAGTGAATTTTAAAGAATGCATTTATTCTATTGTGGTTTATGCGCTATCTACAAAGTGGAATTTAATAAGTTTAAATGAAATGCGCAAAAAATGCGTATAATTTAATATTCCGTACAAGGAAGTCATGCGCTATTATACATCAAATTTTTTTTATTAGATGTTCTCATTATATTAATGATTTCTATTCTCTACAACGTATAATTCCATATTATTGTTAAGAAGAAAGTAATTTCTTTATTAGAATCCATCATTTTACAATTGAAAATTTTTTTTCGCATGTTTTTTTTTTTTTTTTCAAAAATTGAAGTCAATTTCATTTAGTTATCAATAATTAATTTTATAAATTTAATTATCTGTAGTTTTTAATTGCTAATACTTGCTAATACTTGCTTAATACTTTTAATTGCTAATACTTTTTAATTGCTCTTTTTCATTCAATTTGACATTTTATTTTCCTGCAGATGAATCCGGGTCGAATAATCAAAATGATTCGATAAATTAAATTTAATTAGTAATTTTTATGCTAGATTTTTAATTATCAATTGTCCTTTTCTTAGCTCTTTCAAGTATTTACTAATTACTGCTAATTGTAGCTTTATATGCATTTAAAAAGAATATTAAGTAAAATTTTAATTTTAGACTTATCTCAGTAATATAGATATGTATGTAAACGTCCTTATTATTTTTTTTCTAATAGGATTTGGCCGTGGAGGAACGGAAAGTTACCAATACAAGAAATAGCATTGACAATGGAAGCGATTATCTGTATACTAACTCATTAGTAGTATAATATACTCATAGTAACAATTGGAGGCTGAATAACTGTGATCCATATTTTTCACCTTTCATCCACTAGTAGTTTCTTTTTGTACTAAAAACATAGCTTATTAATAATAATTTCTCATAATTTTGAATAGAGTTTATGAATGTCGCGAAGTTTTACAATTGTGAATTTTACTGACAGTCTTTTTATATATTAATAGGAATAAATTTTTTTAATTCACTTGTCTTATTATTAATATTGTGGTTTTTTATAATGCATATATACTTTCCTGTTATCATTTTGCTTAATAAAAACACTACATAGGCTGAGATGGCCTAAAAATGTGGTTTCCAGTATTCATTCAAATGCCGCGTAAAGTCTAAACTTTTAATTCAGAAACACGAAATGTACACCTTAGTATATTTACGATTTACTAAGATGCTTTGAAAATTTTCTATCATAATTTTTAGCACTACAGATACTACTACTCTTCAAACTTGTTTTTATCTGTATCGTTTTTGTGCTCCAAATCACTTTATAAGGTATTTCCCCACTTCCCTAGTGTGCCTTCGTGGTGTAACGGTAGCACGCTGGGCCGGTATTCCAGAGGTCCGTGGTTCGATTCCCGGCGAAGTCGTTGTTAATTTTTCATCTCTCCGGCCTTCAAAAAAATCCTAATGTCTCTACAACTTTTCAAATTGTTGCTAACAAATATTATCTCGATATATTATTCAAAAAGAAAATAAGGAAGAATCTGGTATGCATATATGTAATATTTTTAACATTAAGGTAAAATAACACGCCGAAGAAATATTAATTTAGAAGTTAAACACTTTTTCAGACATTAGAAGCCAAACAAATAAGGCATTTGCACTTTGGCAGCTGAGGATGGCAGTTTGGTAAAACCATCGAAACTAGTCCTGTGAAAATTTGTGAATATACGCTGATTTTTGCTGTTTGACTTCTAAATTAATATTTTTAGCATTGTTTAAAAACGTCAACACCTTTTTAATACACGTACTCCTACACCCGAATATATGGACACTGGATTTGAATTTGCATTTTATTAGCCTAAATAGGAAATTTGCCAGAGCTATTAATTTCGTTTTGGCATTTTGCGTTGATTCACTATAGACGGCATTTCACTTTTCAAATTGTTGGCACCAAATATTACATCCCTGCATTATATTTAAAGAAATTAAATAATGAAGAACCTGCATGAATGTATGTATGTATGTTTTTTCACACTGTGAAAAAGCAACGGTACTTAGAGACATAAAATTTTGAATAACTCAGTCCTCCATCGAATATGAGCATCTAGAAGCCCAAAATTGACATTTGGAGTTTCTTTTATTATCTATTTCCTATTTTGTAAAACTATAATGAATTTTTGATTAAAAAAATCAACGATTTCAAAGCAATGGCAACACTGTACAGGAAAAACAAAAAAATTATTTCCAGCGCGTGAGACTGTGTATCGGAAATTCTAAAGATATGCTCTTTTTAAATTATTTTGTGATATTGCTGTTGAAATGAATTTTATGGTTTAAGTGCGAAGAACATGATATTTAATAAATAAAAGCAACATACAAAACGTTAAAAAAATGCCCCCTTTGAGATTAATATAAAATCGGAAAGTTTTCCGATTTTTTTTAATTTCATATTTTGTACAAATTTAACACATTTCTGTTAGTAAGATATAAAACATTTTTGTCTCCAGCCCGTCAGACTTCGCCATTCGGCAAAATGTAAGATCTTTCAATTTTAATCCAAAAATTCGGCTATTTGAAAGCAATGTTGTTATGTCCTGAGCTCCACACACCAGGGTGTTGCCATTCAATAAAGGGTAAGATAATTTAATTTTCAAATTTAATTTTGTTATTGAGTAGCAAACCGCAAGTAATTGAAAAAATATAAATGCAGTTCTTAAAATAATTTTTCTACGTTTTAATCTGATTGACTTAAAAAAAAAAATGCATTTAAATCATGATTTGTTCAAATATAAAAATTTTATGAAATGACACTTGCTACAAAAAAATCAATATATTCTTTTTTCTTTTGTATGATAACTCTTAACGGCGGCTAGTTTTAAAAGAAATAAGGTATTGTACTGTTATCTTGACTGGAATCAGATACCGCCAAATTCTGACGATCTGGCCAAAAATTCGAAGCATTAAAATAATCTTCAAAATAGTATTTACGATAGGGTTAAATTGAAGAAAAATTCAAGGGAAAAATAGCATAACAGATATTCGTAAAATTAAAAATTTTTAATATAAATTAAACTACTCTACAAAGCAAAGCGAAGGCCTAAAACGACGAATATCATTTAAAAGAGTAATAAAACTAAAAAAATATGCAAAAATTGTGTTAGTTGGAGTGAGTCCAAGAGCAGAATAGTATGCGATGCTCAACGACAGTATAAAAAAACCTTAGTTTAAAGCCTCTGGTGTGACGTTAAAATATGAAAACTTTCAGATTTCCTTCCTTTCCTTTTTATAAAATTCTATTTGGTATCACGGAGTAAAAATTTCGTGACATCGAGTATTTTTACATAATAATCGATGTTATTTTTAATCCTGGTTTTAAGTATAAAACGCAAATATTTTCGAATCATTCTCATTCAAATTATGCGTTGGAATCAGTTAAATGGCAACAATCTGTGACAAACGATTTTTAAAAACATGAATCACAGTTTGTAGCATAGATGTTTATTCTATTCTTTATGCTATAGCTAATGTATTGACTAAAAATATGTTGTTTATTCTATTCTTTGTGCTATAGCTAATGTATTGACTGAAAATATGTTCGTGTGCCGTTGTTTTGCGAATTTTTCAAGAAATTTATGCAGAATAGGAAGATAAAAATCGTCTTTTGTCGGTGACTGAAAAAATTAGATACCAATTCTATCTACATCGGCATGGAATATTTCTGAAGTTTACAGGTAAATTAACCAATTTTTCAGCTTATTGAAAAGTATCAAAATTCTATATTCAAAAATATTATTTAATCACTTCATTATTTATTTACTTTATTATTAATGAATGAGTTCAATAAAAGAAATTTTCAAACTTTCCTTCTAAATTATGGCATAAACTTCTATTTCAATCTCTCACCGTTTTTTCTGAGATTCTATTAGTTTCTAACTTGTAAAACTTATGATAGTCGTCACTTGCGCTTTGCTAAAGTTCTTTGTAGTGTATTAAATCCTCATTTATAACATGCTGGGAGGATGTTACAGCTGTATTTTTTAGTCCAGTGTTATAACTTTCTACTTAAATTTCAATTTGTGTGTTTTAAAAAAAAAAGATCTCTAATTATGTTCTTCTGGCGGTATATCCTTTCAAAATGTCTGACGTTGAGATTTTAAATGTGATTTATTTATTCTACTGCGTTTTCCGTTGGAAAGTCATTCAGGGATACATGGGAACATCTTGTTTGCTAATACTAACAGCCGGATATGTTATCAGTATCAGCGTTACTTAGTTCAAATATACAGTGTCTCACAAAAGTGATGGGACACTTGTGTTTTACAAAAGGAAACTGTAGTAAAATAAATTAAAAAAGCATGTAAAAATTTTTTGTGGGTGTGTTTCATACTTAAATTTAGTAACAATTAATTACATAACATACATTTTCTCAAAATATTAAAATATTAATTTAATAAAAAGTACAATTGTTTAGAACGGAGCAAAAAATAGCTCACATGAGTGATGGGACACTTACTTTTCCATCAAATATTTATCCAAAAATTTTACTTTTTAAAAGGTTTTAATATTTTACTGGATTTCCTTTTACTTTTAAAACATAATTTAACCTTCTTGGGATGGATTCGACTAATTTTTTTGTGATTTCTGGAGCGATTTTACCCCATTCTTCTTGAAGCACCGATTTTAATTGCTGTTTTGAAGGAATGGTGTGTTTGCGAATTCTTGATTCTAATTCTTGCCAAATATTCTGGCAAAAGACCTGGCCGACCATCAAAGCTTTCCAATGGAATAAAGCGAATTATCGTTCGAAATATTAAAAAAAAAATCCAAAAATGAGTGCTCCTAAGGTTGCTGCTGATTTACAAGCATTATATGGAGTAATTATTAATCCTGAGACTATTAGAAAAGTAATTAGATCTGCTGGATATCACGGTAGAGCAGCCGGGAAAAAATTCTTCGTAAGTGAAAAGAATAGAAAACTCAGACTGGTTTTCGCAAAATCCAACATAAATAAGAATTTTGATTACTGGAATGAAGTTATATTTACTAATGAGAGTAAATTTAATATGTTTGGTTCTGACGGTAGAATCTTGGTGTGGAGAAAACCCAGGGAAGAATTTCGCAAACAAAACTTGGTGCCAACAGTAAAACATGGTGGAGGAGGAGTTATGGTATGGGGGTGTATGTCGTCCGCTGGAGTTGGCAATCTTGTTTTTATTGACAGTATAATGGATCAGTACAAGTATATTGACATTTTAAATCGAAATTTGAAATCTTCAGCACGAAAATTGAACATTCATAACGATTTTAAATTCTACCAGGACAATGACCCCAAGCACACTGCTTTGAACGTTAGACTCTGGCTGCTGTATAACTGTCCTGAAATAATGAAAACACTACCACAAGCTCCAGACTTAAATCACATAGAGAATATTTGGCAAGAATTGGAATCGAGAATTCGCAAACACACCATTTCTTCAAAAGAAAAATTAAAATCGGTGCTTCAAGAAGAATGGGGTAAAATCGCTCCGGAAATACAAAAAAATTAGTCGAATCCATCCCAAGAAGATTAAATCATATTTTAAAAGTAAAAGGAAATCCAACAAAATATTAAAACCTTTTAAAAAGTAAAAGTTTTTGATAAATATTTGATGGAAAAGTAAGTGTCCCATCACTCATGTGAGCCATTTTTTTGCTCCGTTCTAAACAATTGTATTTTTATTAAATTAATATTTTAATATTTTGAGAAAATGTATGTTATGTAATAATTGCTACTAAATTTAAGTATGAAACACACCCACAAAAAATTTTTACATGTTTTTTAATTTATTTTACTACAGTTTCCTTTTGTAAAGCACAAGTGTCCCATCACTTTTGTGAGACACTGTACTTAAATCTTCTAATTAGTTTGTTTGTTCGTCTATGTTACTTTTTCAGAAATTTTATAAATGTACGTTTTTTACCCCTTATTTGCATCTGAAACCTAATTTTGTATAAACCAACCTTAGAAATCTTTTACTTGAAAACAGATAGAAC